TCAGCACTTTGTCTCATTATTGCATCATTTACCAGAATACTACTTTTAGCTCCTTGCCATGAAACATACAAAATATAGATTACAACTTTAATATTCTCTGAAAGATAGGACATTTGTAAGTCTCAAGAAAAATTTTGAACAAAATCTACCAATACAGTATTAAGAAATATAAAATTATAAGTAAATGTCCCATAACTGCCACGCCTACTCTAAACTATTTAAAAAATGGCTATAAAACGCATCAATCCTGCAGGCAAGTCTCCACTCTCCAGGCAGGAGTGTAAACTGACCAAGAGATCATGATTTTGTCCATTCCTTTGAGTCTTACAATTCTTTTTTTTGCAGGAGCAAGTGGAGTAGATATCGATGGCCTCCATGATGTTACTGGTTTCTATGAAATAGAGGCACTAGTACAAGGCTGGAGACAGCTCAGCGATGAAGAGAGACTCGAGTTTAAAGAATCCATTGACTCAGTCACTGGAAGAAGGAGCAATAGTCGCAACAGTGGAGTAACAGGTCATAGACGTAGCAAGTACATAAAATACCCATTAATTGACCTGTATTCATATTACAACTACCTGTACTACTATCCCACAATGCACTGGAGTCTCAGTCGTACTCCTGATACCAACAATTACTGGGTGGGCATTTACAAGATTGGTACTACTGATAGACAGTACCTGACGTACCAGTGGGTTCGAAAGAATACCCAAGGTTCATACTACATCGGTAAACTGGGTACTAAGCATGGAGAGGAGTCCACCTCTCGTTATGAGGAGTTTGAGTTACGTTTATTTAAAGGAGGCTATCAAAAGTTGGCTGCATGCAGCAATATAATGTATGGCAGAGTCAATTCATCACCACCTAAAACTGCTTCTTATGAAAGCAGAAACGAGCATGAGATAGATCCTCAAATGAAATCATTTATGCAATCTCTTGAAAAAGCACTTGATTCAAATGTCAAATCTACACTGACTAAGGAGAATCTACAAAGTCTTTGGTTTCAATTTAGTGAGCAAAAGCGTAACTTGCTTTATCCAATATTGGAACAAGACTGTCTTCCTAGTCATATAAGGAAACCGGAATATACTGATGATGAGCAATGGCCTGAACCATTGAAAGTGTACCCTGATCTTCCTGAGTCAGTACCAACAGCAGCAGAAGAAGAATATAGCTTATGCAGTAATAGACTGTGGATATCATTGAGCTACAGTTATACTTATGTCTATCCTGAACTCAACACCCAGAAAACACTGTCTGGAAAACGTGCCTGGCTGGGAGTATATAGGAAAAAATCGTATGTTATATACAAATAATTTATTATTAACATTTAGTGTTGTTTCTTTATAGTTACTGTACATTGCCCTATCCTAGCACATCAGAGTACCTGAGATGGCAGTGGGTTGGCCCAGGATACCAGAGGGTCTCTAGACTTGGGAGTATTAAGGAATACAAAACGGGGCCAATATCCCAAGTGTATGTAGGTCCTGTGTTTGACTACATTTCATCAGCCTACACTCAAATTGGGTTTGGGTCTGGCAGTATTTATGCTGCAATTAATGTGACTCCTGAGTGCTGAGCAAGCAGTTTAAAGGCATCAGAAGTAGAAAGAAACAATTTGTTAATTACTTAGTTTAGTTTATTATTAGTAGTCAACTTAGGACATTAATTTTTTGATTTCTGATGCAAAAACAAGTTTAATACTAGCAAAATTGTATACTACAGTAGTAGTGTAATGGTGGGAACTACAGCCAATGACAATAATATTAACAGCAGCAAAAGCTGCTGATGGAGCAGCAGCTAGTGGTCTAATAGCATCTGCAATAGTTTGATTATTCACTTTTGGAATTGGAGCTGCTGTTTAGTACAACAGCAGCTGCTATAGGATTAGCTGCTATAGGATTAGCTGCAGCTCTTGTACTTAGTTTTGGTAACACAGCTGAGACATTTGGTAAATTAGATGGAAGACTCGGAAGCTGCCAGTTTAAACTAATACAGGATAATGATAAAGGAGGTTCATCTAACAATTAACAAGAAAGTGAAGAAAATGACAGGCGCTGGACATAATGACTGATTGTGCTATATTTTTTAACAATTACAGCTTATAGTGTTAACATGTTAAATAAGGTTTTTTTTCTAATTTCAAGAGGTGATGAACTGATGATACCTCAGTACAGATGAGGGAGTCCAGTGTTGATATAACTGGATACTATGTATAATGTATGTACATGCACATATGTGTATCTGTGATGAGAAGTAGTGGTGTCAAATAGTACAAACAGTGCAAGCTCAGTCTCAATTCCTCCCCATTGGGTAATCAGTTGTGAAGCTATACATCAATGAACAAATGTGTTTACAAATGATTAAAAAAGTAAGTATACAGTATAGTATACATGATAGTACAAATCTCTAGAGGCACTTCTAAATATTACAAGTAAATAAAAAACATTAAAAATGGGAAAATAGTAGGATTGAATGAGGAAAAAAGTAAGGAAACAAGAAGGTACTTGCAAACTGAGTGTGGTAAGAAATCCTACACCACTGCATAAAAAATAAAGGCTTCATATAGTGCTATCATAGG